TTCAGTTTCTTTTGACTAATGAATCTTTCATATCTTGAAAATTCACAGTTCACAAAGCTTTTTTCACAGTTTCTTGCTCATTCTAGAGAACATTACTCCATCATTTCCCCTTGGATAATATTTTTCAAACTTATTTTCTCTCCCCTGTAAAAATGATAAGTAGAGTAGAAGCTTCCAAGTTTGTTTTTTTCACCTGCTGTGGGAGAGAGCATCAGCAATAGCCAGTTCCAGCACTACCCCAAATCTTGAATTAAAGTCTATGTGGCCACTGAATTATTTTACGATATTAAGACTGAATGCAAAACGTTTGAATACCTTTCTGCACTTAGAGACTTTATAGTTTTAATGTTGTTGGTATAATTTCACTTTGTTTGGTCAGTATTGCCTGCTATAAATCTCAGGTGTGCAATAGAGTTTCTTTTGTTTCATGGAGAGTAGAAGAGTTACCATTATAAAATGTTGGCCCAAAATGTTGATTTGGGAATTAGAACGGAAAGAAGGAAAAATAAGAAAAAGTCATGCATGAAGCTTAAGTTGAAATGTAGTCATTGTTCATAAATGCATTAAAATCTTTTCCCTGTATGACAGAAAATGTGACGAGCTCTAATTTAAGAAGTTGGCCTTAAATGGTTTATAAAGAAAGGATTTTTAAAAAAATAATTAGACTTCAATTTAAAGCTTATCTGTTGAAAAATAGTATTAATTTCACTATTTACTTGGAAATTTATTTCCCTTATTTAATCTATTTAATATTATTGTGAAAAATCATACTGTCTCCAACAGATTGAATTCTTTACTTTCAGTAGCAGAGCCTAGGCCCTTAGGATTTAAAAATAAGTTATAATTTTTCTACTAATTTTGCCTGTTTATATTATAAACAAGAATGGTGCAAAATACGAACAAACGTTGGTTTCAGGTATGACAATGCCTCCTAAAAAGAAAAAGCACAGAGCACAATGATCCAGCTTTCCTTAATCTCCGTTCATTGTGGAGTCTCTGCTCTACTGCCTACTGAATGGTTTAGTGGTGCACAGATACGGTTGGACTGGATGATCTCTAAGGTCTTTTCCAACCTAGTGATTCTATGATTCTATGATCTCTGCTCTACCGCCTACTGAACTGCAGGAGTTACTTCAGCACATACGAGGAGCTGAGCAAACGTGCAGGAGCCGTTGTGAAAATTCCATTATTCCACACTTGAGAAAAGTTTTTTACCTATTTTTTCCCTCCTTTCTCCTAACATTTAATTCCCTGGACGTTAGTAAAGAGCAGAGTATTGAGTCCCATATGTCACCAGCAACAACCTGGATGGGTGACACAGGGTATGCTCAGCAACTCTGTTGATGACTGAAGAGGTGACAAATGACAGACCTTCAGTCCAGTGGAAGCTGGATAAACTTGAGGATCAGATGGATGTAAATCTGGGAAGTGTCCACATCTGTGCCAGAATAAGGTCATCTATCACTGCGCTTTGGGAATCTGCTGCTCTGAGATGCATTGTAGAGTACAGTCTGAAGTTGTCCTCGGTGGCCAAATACAGTCTGCCCTCTTCTGATGCTGTATTGATACATTTCCTTGAAAAGGAACGCTACGTGCCTTAGCTTAGAATTGTTTCCTAATGTTCAGCTTTATGGCATTGGTCAGTAGAAAGCTTCTCCCTTGCAGCTGCAGGGTTTTCCAGCAGGCTGACACCATGGGTAGACCATAGGTGGGCTCCAGGAGCACGGTGCATTTTCCTCTTAGCCTACTCCATTACACAGTCTGAGTCTATGCAGTTTTCTAAAGGCTGTGTACGTTTCTCTGATTTTTTTTTTTCTGTATTTTTAGAATATTCATGAAGAACAGCAGCTCAAGCAAGCTTCATGGTGTTCTGCCGTGCTGTTTTCTCCCCCTTACCTTCTTTTGTTGCATTTCTTCTATTCAGATTATGTTGACTTCATTGCTAAAAAAACCCCAAAATTAAAAAAAAAATCACTCTTCTATAATCAGAAGAGTAAGTGGGTTGTTAGTATAATGAAGAGAGGTGATGATATGATAGAATCATGGAATGGTTTGGGTTGGAAGGGACCTTAAAGACCATCTAGTTCCAACCCCTTGCCATGGGCAGGGACACCTTCCACTAGACCAGGTTGCTCCAAGCCTCGTCCAGCCTGGCCTTGGACACTTCCAGGGATGGGGCATCCACGGATTCTCTGGGCAGAATCCAGAAATATGTTAAATGTTGGGTTTAAAAAAATCTTTTCATCATAATACTAATCTGTAGAGGTTTGATAGCAGTGGTATGGTTAAAAACATGGAAGCTGAGATGCGAGGTTCTTCATGGAGTCCATAGGACTGACTTTCAGACACAGTTTCAGGCTGAAGGCATCTGAGGAAAGGGCTATTTTTTCCCTTGTTTGTTGGAACAGTCTGACTTCTTATATTTATGTCAGCTGCTTTGATGTCAAAGCCGTTGTTGTGTATTGGACC